TCCTGTAGGGGAGACAGTACAACCTCCATATCAACCAGATTCTGAAACTATGACTCCTCAGAGAGGTTAAGTCCCTCCCGCCCCCCCAAGACAGTTAATAAGTAGGAAAGTAAGGACGTCCCTGGTGGTCCAGTGGCTAAGACGCCAAACTCCTAATGCAGGGGTCGGGGTTCAATCCCCAGTCAGGGAATTAGGCCCCACATTCGAATTCAAAGTTCACACACCACAACTAAAAATCCTGTGTGCCACTACTAGGACCCAGCATGGTCGAATAAATAAATAGTATTTTTTAGTAAATAATTTTTTAAAGTAGAAAAATAGGATTTGAATCCGAGTCAGGATGGCTCAAAGACACATGTGCTTTCCCCTTTCTGCCCTGCGTCTGATCACAGGGCCCCGGGCGGGGGTGGGAATGTGTAGCCCCTCTTCTATATGAAAATCTCCTATCTGTGGCAGGTAAATATGTGTATGATGAGATGCTTGCAAGGTTTGTAGGGCAAAGGTTTATAGGGCAAACCTGTTAGCGGGTGCAGCGGAGAAAAGTCCTCAGTGGGGCTGGCGGTTACATGGCTTCACAGCCACTTCGGGCACCAGGATGTTGGCTCCCTGCCCCCTTGTCAGGCGGGGATGGATGAGGGGTGCGCAGGCGGTTGGCCCCCTGGGGCTGGGGCAGGCACTGTCATCCCTGGGGCGGGAGGCAGGAGCAGCGGGTCAAAAGAAGACATCGAGGTCCTGGAGGAACCGGATTCGCAACTGAGTACACTGTCCAGACCCGGGTTTTCTACCCAAATCGGCGACAGCAGAGAGCTGGAACCAAAGGTTAGAGGCGTGAATGTGGCAGAGAACCAGGCAAGCTGCTGAGTAAGGAGAGTAAAGGCGGGCAGGCCAGAGGGAGCCTCCTGGAGCCATAGCGCAGGGAGGGGCCTGGCTGTGGGTGTTCAGTCGCCAGGTCATGCCTGACCCCTTTCGACCCCATGGACTGCAGCACGCCAGGCTCCTCTGTCCTTCACCATCTCCCAGAGGTTGCTCACACTCGGGTCCACTGAGTCAGTGATGCCATCCCACTGTCTCATCCTCTGTCGTCCCGTCTCCTCCCACCTTCAATCTTTTCCAGCATCAGGGTCTTTTCAAATGAGTCAGTTCTTGGCATCAGGTGGCCAAAGTATTGGAGTTTCAGCTTCAGCATCAGTCCTTCTAATGAACACCCAGGACTGATTTCCTTTAGGATGGACTGGTTGGATCTCCTTGCAGTCCAAGGGACTCTCAAGAGTCTTCTCCAGCACCATGGTTCAAAAGCATCAATTCTTCAGCGCTCAGCCTGGGAATCAACCCAAATGTCTGTCCGTGTAAGACCAAAGAAAGTTGGTGATACATGCACACAAAGGAACACTAGGCAGTTGTAAGGAAGAAGGAGGTACAACTGCCTGCAACGACATGGAACAGTGTCTGTGATACTCAAATGAGAAAAGAAATTAGGGAAGAGTAATCATTATGTGTGTGAGAGGCAGACATAACTTCACAACTAGAGGGTCTCTAAGAATACACTTGAAACTGTTACCCGAAGCTGTATCCGGAATAACTTTTCATTTTATAAATGTCTGGATTGTTTGAAAATTTTTACAAAGTACACATGTGACGTTGTAGCATAAAATTTCCTTGAAAGTGTTACTTGCTCAGTCATCTCAGACTCTTTGCAACCCATGAACTGTAGCCTGCCAGGACAGAGAATTCCTCTGTCCATGGAATTTTCCAGGCAGAATACTGGAGTGGGCAGCCATTGCCTTCTCCAGGGGATCTTTCCAACCCAGGAATTGAATCTGGGTCTCCTGCAGTGTAGGTGGACTTTTTACCCTCTGAGCCACCAGGGAAGCCCATAAAATTTCCTTAGAAAGAAATAAATGAGCCCATTTAGAATACCGATCAGGAGTCATAATGCATTTTTGTTCTACTCAGAAAAGCTTTGTTTTCCTTGACCTTCCAGGGTCTTCAAATAGGTTGTGAGTCAGGGTTTGGTGTTTGCTTCTCAATAATTATTTGGACCTAATCCAAGTCTTTGTCTTTCATTCCCAACTATGTCCTACCAGTAGACAGATGGAAGATGAAAATAGAGGGTTTTATTTTGTTGTGATAACACTTAACATGAGGTCTAGTCTCTTAAATTTTTTTAAGTGTACATTGGTGTGGACTATAGGTACAATATTGTATAGCAGATCTCTAGAGCTTGTCTATCTTTTTTTTGGCTGTGCTGGTGGGATTTTAGTTCCCTGAGAAAGGATTGAACCTGCACCCTCCAGCAGTGAAAGCATGAAGTTCTACCCACTGGGCCACCAGGGAATTCCCAAGGCCTTGTTCTTCTTACTTAACTGAATTTTTATGCCTATGGATCAATAATTCTCCATCCCCATCTCCCACCCAGCTCTGGTAACTCCCATTCCAGCCTCTGATGTTACGAATTTGACTACTCGAGGTATCACACGTAAGTGGAATCAGGCAATACTTGCCTATGTCTGGCTTATTTCACTCAGCATGATGTCCTCAAGGCCCACTCGTGTTGTCTCGTGTTGTAGAATATCCTTCTTTTTTACGGCTGAATATTTCTCCGTTGTGTGTACACATCACCTTTTCTTGATGGTCTTCACATTTTCGCCCTTGTGACTAGTGCTGCAATGAATGTGGGAGTGCTAATACCTAACAAGAGTGTCTTCACAGAAAAGTCCTGTGAATTTAGACTCTCTAGTGGGTTCCCAGGAAGACTTGGTCCTGGAAAGTTCAGCAGGAAACAGCCCGCAGGGGACAGCGTGGTGAGATGTGCAGGAGTACTGGCTGCAGGCCCCTCGCCCGACCAGCACCCGGGGCTTCCGTGGAGAGGCCTGGAGGAGATCAGACGGGGCTGTCAGCGCCCGCCCTTCCTCACAAAGCATCCACCCCCACACAAGGGAGAGCTCCGGGTAGTGGTCGATTAGGTGGTGTATTGCTGCACATACATAAGAGAGATGATTAGCTCGAATCATATACAGCCTACATAAAGCTGTGCATCTGGTCTACCTGGCAGGGCTAATCTAGAAGAGATGTTTCCACCTCACTCGCCTCTCTGGCAGACAGAAAAGATTTGCATCTTATCCTTTTTTGGCAGGTCAGCATCTACCATTACAGACCCTGGGCCCTGATCCATAGTAAATAAGAAATGAGGGACTTCCCTCGTGGTCCAGGGGTTAAGACTCCGTGCTCCCATTGCAGGGGACCCGGGTTCAATCCCTGGTCAGGAAACTAGATCCCACAGGCTGCAATTAAGACCTGGTGCAACCAGATAAATAAAAGTAAATTTAAAAAAAAGAAACAAAATTTTCTTCTCCCTGAATGGTGTTCCTCAGCCAGGATTCCGAGGAGAGGACTGAGGCTTAACGCCCAAGACACTCTTTGTGCACACTCGGCCTCATTGCATCTGTGGTGATACTCATGTGCCCTCTGTGAGTGAAACGACGAAATAATCATCTGAACGATTCTCTGTGTTCTGAGAGTCTGGTGACCCTGAGTCTTCTGCCCTAATCCCAACTTTTGGGTAATTCTTCTTCCCAGGAGAAACTACAGGCATGCAGGTTGTGAGAAAGCCTTCACCCATAGCAGTTGGTACCTTCTGTATCTGAGGGTGGACCGGAGATGGAAAAAAAAAAAAAAGATAAAATGTTTTACAGAAAGAGCTTCAGTGAGAACTTGAATTTACTGAACACCAGGAACCCTGCAGGGGGTGAAGCCACGCACACATATGCAGATATGCAGGGGAAAGGTCCTCCTGGGAGCTCATCCCTCCTCACTCATTGGAAGGGAGGGTTCTCATGACACAGAAACTCTGGACTTGCTGAGCCACAGAAGCCCAAGAATACTGGAGTGGGGAGGCGTTCCCTTCTCCAGGGGATCTTCCCAACCCAGGGATTGAACCCAGGTCTTCCGCATTGCGGGAGGATTCTTTACCAACTGAGTTATGAGGGAAGCCATCCGATTGCCCACACGAAGGCAAACGCCCTGATTAAGTCAACCTCAGGCCATTCACAGTGGGAAAGGGCTTCAGCTTGGCTCCCAGTTCCATCAGGCAAGACAGTAGCCACAAAGCAGAGACACCCTGTAAATGTCCAGAAGAGACAGCTTTGGCCAAAGAGCTGAGAGGTCCGACGGAGCTTGGGAAGACCTCTCCGCTGGTCCTCGTCCACCCTGAGACCCTGGGGCGCAGAGCTCCACGGTCCTGCCCCCGGACGCAGGATGTTCACCCTGCTGCCGGCTTCAGACTGGCTCACGGCCTGTGCCAGGAATTCATAGGAAGTTAACACTGCGTCTGGAGCTCAGACAGATGTGGCCCACATGCTGGCTCCGTCACTAGCCGTGCGATGTCAGGTGAATCAAATAATTTCTGTTGAGTCTCGTTTTTTAAAATTAACGAGTTGATTTTTGGAGGCTCTGGTCTTGCTGTGCTCAGGCTTTCTCGAGTTGCGGCGAGCGGGGACTACCCTTCATTGTGCAGCACGAGTTTCTCACTGCGGTGGCTTTGCTGGTTCTGGGGCACAGGCTCTGGGCACACAGGCTTCAGTAACTGCAGCACGGGGGGGGGTGGGCGCTGGGGGAGGCCTCAGCAATCGTGGTGCACAAGCCTAGATGCTCCGGGGCACGCAGAATCTTCCCAGGCCAGGGATCGAATTCGGGTCCCTTGCATTGGCAGGCGGATTCTTATCCACTACGCCACCCAGGAAGTCAGAGTCTCATGTTTTAAAATTCGTTTCAGATGGAATTAATGTTAGTACCCATTTCGTAGATGTCATGAGCATTAATGAAAAGATGAAGGAGGTGCTTTGCACCAGCTTCATTTTGTTCAGCTGTCTCCTATGTCCAGGTTGGCCCCAGCTCGCGCCCTGGGGACGGAGAAGTACCACTGCGTGCAAAGCTGTTGGTGGCCACGGCTCGATGCAAAAAGACTTCGCCTGACTTGGGAAGCTCCCCCGCCACCCCAAGGAATGAGGACCTGCAAAGCCAGTGCTGTCTCTGTGAGTCTGTCCCATGGATGCCCCCAAGGAGCCCATAAATGTTCTCTTGTTCCCCTTCCTCATCAGCCCGTTGGAACAGAGGCTCTGGTGCTAGCAGCCAACTTTCCAGAATGTGCCAAACAGGACAAGCCTGGCCGTGACCCGACCACAGAGCATCAGAGCTGTATCAGGCCATCAGAGACCACTGTGTTTCGCAGAGGTAGGGTTGCCAGATTTAGCAAATCAGATGCAGAATGTCTAGTTAAATCTGAATTTCAGATAAACATCCACAAAAAAAAAAAAATTTTTTACTGTAAGTAGGTCCTGATATTCGGAGAAGGCAATGGCACCCCACTCCAGTACTCTTGCCTGGAAAATCCCATGGAGGGAGGAGCCCGGTGGGCTGTGGTCCAAGGGGTCATTAAGAGTCGGACACGACTGAAGTAACTGAGGAGCAGCAGCGGGTCCTGATATTGCATGCGACATACTTTCAAAGAAACTTTTCTTTGTTTATCTGAAATTCAAATTTAATTGAGCTTCTTCCCATATTTCTCTTACCTGGGAACCCTGAGACCGAAGCTAGCTATGGAGAGGGGAAGCAATTTGCTGGGGTCACACGCAAGCCAGGTCTCACAGCGGGGTCTGTCGGCCCCGTCTCCAGCCTCCCACCCCTCGACACAGATGCCCAGCTTTCTGGGTTGGTTTTTTTTTCCTTTCTGGTTTCGGTTTTGTTTTTCCCAAGTTTTCTGGTTTTCACTTAAGGCGAATGCTTGCTGGACTGGGTGTCCCAGATCCCTGGCGTGTTACAGAGGGGTAGCACCACAGACTCCAGGTCGCCAAGAAAAGAAGGGGGACCAGCCACAGAGGCGAGCGGGTGAAGTCAGGACCTCAGGAAGTCCAGTCCAGGTTTCATCTTCAAGAGAAGGCTCACCAAGTAAGCCAGACATTTAAGTGCTGCGAGGCTCTTAGCTATTACATCCAATGGGCACCTTCGGGCCTCTTTCCAGAGCGTTCCTTTAGGGATCCAGCCCAACGAGCAGTTCCGGGAAGGCAGCTTGCTGGTAAGCTGCGGAGCATATCTGGGGTCTGGGACGGCTCCATCACCGCCCGTGCGGAGGGAGCAGGACGCCGGGCTGTGCCCACCCAAGGTCTGCACCCCAGCTTCCCCAGCCTGAATCACCAGGGGCTTTGAGCTGAAATTCCAGGCAGGGGCTGGACCAAGTGGTCTGGCCCAGCCTGATTTACGGGAAGCCACACCAGCGCTCTATCCGCCTTAATTTGTAACTGGGCAGTGTCCTGGGCCAACCAATAGCTGCGACCGAACCCCCACCCACCCCAGCCTCCCCAACCCTGGGGGACTAGCCGCAGAGTCGGCCCGAGGCAACGCAGCGATTGGGAGTCAGGAGCAGGTTTGGCGCTGGCGGATGGGGGTCTGGGGAGCAAGGCGGGCTCCGGTCCTCGCTTCCCTCCCTCCGCCAGGCTCCCCTTGTCTCTGCGGTCTCCGGGCGTCGCTGCTGCCCCTCCCCTCCCCTCCTCTCCCCTCCCCTCCCCCGGCCCCCTCCAGGCCCGCCCCCCTCCCCGGCCCCGGGCTTCTTTGTTAAGTTGCAGCGGGACCCTCTAGATGGAGCAGGTGGACGCCTCCGGCCTGGGAGGGGGCTGGGACGAGGGGCCAGCCGGGAAAGGGACGCGGTCTGGGAACAAAAACACAGGGGGAGGCGCCGGGAGGAGGCGGTCCGGGCGGCAGGCGGTGGGGGGCGTTGAATGGGGGCGGGCCCCGAGGGGGTGGGCGCGCGGGAGGGCCCCCAGGCCCCCAGGCTCGGAGCTGGCACCCGAAGCTGGCTGGCCCTGCAGGTCCGGGCTGACGTCGCCTCCCAGATGGCCTCCAGGATGACCCCGCTGACCCTCCTGCTGCTGCTGCTCTTGGCTGGGGTGAGTGACCCCTGCGCGGCCAGGCGGGAGCGGGGCCGAGGTTAACCCTTCAGGCTCCGGGGAACTAGGTGAGCTCCTCGTGGGATCGGCACCGGGGAGTCCTCCCACCAGCGTGGAGTGCACAGCTTGGAAAGAGCAGGGACTGAGACCCACGCGGGGTCTAACCCTGCCTGGGCCGTGCGGTGGCCGGGAGCCTGGCGCTTAGGGGAGCCAACCGGCCCTGATGTGCAAAGTGGAGAATAGAACGGAAGGGCAAAGGAGATGGACAGCATTTTGAAACGAAAAAGCAAGAGGTCATCGTGGAAACCTGAGCTTCGGGTGAGGGTGGGAAAGCTCCCCCCAGTGGTCCCGGAGGTCAGGGGTAAGGGGTGAGCCAGGGAGAAAGGGGGGGGGTTTACCTTGGCGTGTGCAATCCGTGGGCGTGTGCCGAAGTTGACTTTGGCATGGCCTTTTGAGATGGATCAGATGATGTGGTGCTGATCAAGGCATCTGGAAGCAGAGACCCAAGTCTGACCCCTAGTTTTTCCTCCGGCTTCTCTTAAGACCTTGAGCTAGTTGCTTAATGTCTCAGCACCGGTTTTGTTTATCAGTTAAATGGGATAATGCGGGCTTTCTCTGAAGCAGTCCATGGTGGGGGCTCCAGGCAGGCCCCTGTCCCACCAAGCTTTGCCACGAACAATTCTCTGGTATCCCGCCTTCGATGCCCTGGTGGCTCAGTGGTAAAGAATCCACCTGCCAATGTGGGTTCGATCCCTGGGTCGGGAAGATCCCCTGGAGAAGGAAATGACAACCCACTCCAGTGTTCTTGCCTGGGAAACCCCACGGACAGAGGAACCTGGCGGGCTACAGGAGCCTGACAGACTTAGCAACTAATCCACACACCCCACCTTCTCTTTGAGTGTTTGTGTTTAAAGGGGGCTGTGCCTCATAATGAAAGAAAGAAAGAAAGTCTCTTGAACCACAGGACAGAGGCGCCTCAGATATGATCGTCGGCCCAGGGAGCTTACAAGAAGGGGAAAGTGAAGGAGACAGCCGGAAAGGAGGTGTCCCCGACAACGAGTCCATTCAGGGCAGCCAGGACCCTTCCACCTTGCCGATGACTAACCTGACCGTCGCGCGAGGCGCTGTCACCGAGGCCCTCAGCCAGCCCGCCACCGGACCGGCGCGGCCGACCACCCAGCCCGGCGCTGAGGCCTTCTGCCCCGCGCCCGTCACCTCCTGCTCTGACACGGAGGTGCGCGCAGCTGAGGCGGTGCTGGGGGAGGCGCTGACAGACTTCTCCCTGAAGCTGTACCGCGACTTCTCGGTGCTGAAGAAGACGGAGACCAACTTCGTCTTCTCCCCCTTCAGCGTCGCCGGCCTCCTCACCCAAACCCTGCTCGGTGAGAGCCCGCCTTCTCTCCAGTTCGCGCGTTTGACGTTCCCTGAGGCGGGCTCCCTCGTGCCTCAGCTGGTAAAGCACCCGCCCGCAATGCGGGAGACCTGGGTCCGATCCCTGGCTTGGGAAGATCTCGTGGAGAAGGAAATGGCACCCCACTCCAGTACTCTTGCCTGGAGAATCCCATGGACGGAGGAGCCTGGGGGGCTACATTAGTCCATGGAGCCCCAAAGAGCTGGACACGACTGAGCGACTTTAAAAAAAAAAAGAAAACATGCCTCAGGAAGGAAGCTGCAAAAATGGGCTACAGTGGGGGTGGGGAATCTTTTTACTCTGGAACTTACATTTATCCTTTCATTTAACCATGATGTAATAGGCTTTGCTGATTATAAAGGGCCCCCAGGTGGCTCAGTGGTAAAGACTCTGCCTGCCATTGCAGGAGACCAGGGTTCAACCCCTGGGTCGGGAAGATCCCCTGGGGGAGGAAATGTCAACCCGCTCCAGTATTCTTGCCTGGAGAATCCCATGGACAGAGGAGCCTGGCAGGCCACAGTCCATGGGTTGCAAAGAGTCGGACACGTCTTAGTGAGTAAACAGCAGCATCAGCAGCGTGGCTTATAGAATCCTATGAACTGTACAAGAACATTTAAATAAGGTTCCAGCCCATCAACCATGGCTCAGGGTAAGGCCGTAAGGAAACGATAAGAGAGAGACATAGAGCAGAATCATAATAATGTTGCTTTTTAGCTGTGTGACCTTGGGCAGATCACTTAACTTCTCTGAGCCTGAGTCTTCTGTGTAAAATGGAAATGGTTGTGAAAGTGAAGTCGCACAGTCGTGTCCGACTCTTTGCGACCCCATAGACTGTAGCCCACCAGGTTCCTCAGTCCATGGGATTTTCCGGGCAAGAGTACTGGAGTGGGTTGCCATTTCCTTCTCCAGGGGATCTTTGCAACCCAGGGATCGAACCATGGTCTCCTACATTGCAGGCAGACGCTTTACCATATGAGCCACCCTTAAAATAAAGAAAAACTAAGCAGATAGCCCAGTGCCTAATGTGGTAGGAGGTTAAAAAAAAAAGTTAATCACTTCACTTCCCTGAGAGACCACTGTCAACTCCCTGGGGTAATTTACCTTAGAAATGGCCCAAAAAATGCTCCAGGCAATGGAAACAGCTGTCACTCCAAAGGGGAATTCCAGGAAGCCTACTGGAGCCGATAAAGTGAGGAACAGGGGAACCTTTCTACTAGAGTCCCAGAACCCTAACATCCTTAGCCTGTATCCACTAGACACCAGTGGCACCCCACACCTCCAGGTACGGCACCCAGAAAGTCTCCAGATGTGGCCAGATGCCCCCTGGGCTGCACATTTCCTTTGATTGTTTTCAGTTAATTGTTTTATTGCCCCGCCCCCCAAAAAATGGCTTGAATCTTTCTCCACCCTCCAGTTATGAACTCCATGATCTTAAAGTGAGTAGATTACTTCCTCTCTTAACCTCAGTTTTCTCACCTGCGTAATGGGGATAGTACTTGTCCTTACATAAAAGGGTTACAGTGAAGATTCAAAGAGATACTATGGGAGAAGCACTTACTATGCCTGGAACAAAGTGAGTGCTTGCTAAATTCTATCTATTGCTACACAGAAGGTGTGGACAATAAGTATTTACTAATGAACAAGGGAAAGGGTATTGGACATCTTTTATGAGTCTCTGCTCTCTCTTCTTAATGACGACCTAGTGTCCCTGCTTATAGGGTGAACCTTTGTAAACCTGAACCGACTAAATAAGAGGTCATGTGGAACAAGTGGTGATTGGACCAGGCTTTGGGTGGCGAGTGGTATTAAAATTAGGTAGGAAGATGCAGGAAAGGAATATTTAGTCCTAGAAAATTCTGGATTGTTCATAATTCCCCCACCCTTCTCTTTCTGACATGTGTTGTCTTTGAAACCATCTCTGGCTCTGATGATACGGGGTTAACCCCCCTGCCCTGCCCCGCCATTGCAACCTGGTCTGTTAACCCTGGTCCCTACTCCCGCTCTGGTCTTTGTTGCAGGGGCTGGAGGAGAAACCAAGGAAAGCTTGGAGCGCCTCCTCTCTTACCCCCAGAACTTCAGCTGTGTCCACCGTGCCCTGAATGCCTTCACGTCCGAAGGTTTCACCTCGTTCTCTCAGATCTTCCACAGCTCAGGTGAGTGTCAGGGGGAAGGACGGCAGGGGCTGAGCTGGGCCCTCAGGATTTGGGTGGGCGCCTAACACTAGGGATGGAGAAGGAAGTGGCAACCCCCTCCAGGATCCTTGCCTGGAGAATCCCATGGGCAGAGGAGCCTGGCGGGCTACAGTCCTCAGGGTCGCAGAGAGTCAGACACGACTGAGCGACTAAACCATCTATCCATCCATAGCACTGGGGAAAGAGAGGACAGAGGGAATGTTAGAACTAGAAGCAGGGGGCGGGGGAGGAATGCAGAGCAGCGCGGGGCCTGAGAAACACCAGGTGGCTCCTGGGTGCCAGATAGGAGCCCAGGTGAGACTGTGGGCAAGTCATTTGCATTCATCAGTTTCATCAGACTAAGAACAGTCCTCGGCATTCAGGAACAGAGAACGCTGGAGGGCTGGAGGGCTCTAGACATGAAACAGACAAAAAAATGTCAGTCTGGGGATTCCCGGGTGGTCCACTGCTTAAGACTCTAACCTTTCACTGGTTGAGTTCAGGTGTGAGCCTTGGTTGGGGAACTAAGATCCCGCCAGCTGTGAGGCCAAAAAACAAAAGAGAGACTTTGTTAACCTGGGTCAGTGGGTCTTGGGACTCCTGTTCTTTGTACATTTATGTTATATGAATTTGTTGTCATTTACACATGTTGCATTATTAGGTAAGGTAATCAGAGCAGTCAGTGGTAAAGAATCCGTCTGCCAATGCAGGAGACATGGGTTTGATCCAAGGGTCGGGAAGATCCCCCTGGAGGAGGAAATGGCAACCCACTCCAGGATTCTTGCCTGGAAAATTCCACGGACAGAGGAGCCTGGCAGGCTACAGTCCATGGGGTTGCAAAAGAGGCGGACATGACTTAGCAATTAAATAATAACAACAACAATCAGAGCAATAAGCTTCCAAAATGATCTAATGGAGTTCGTTCAGATTTTGTTCCCCAGAGCCCTAGGTTTCTGCAGAACTGCTGCAGGAGTCCCCGTGGGAGAGGGAGTTAGGGAGGCTGTGGGCAGGGGGCTGCGTGGGGGGCGGGGCTGCGGGCGGGGGCAGGGGGTAGCACTTTCGGTGAGAGGCGGAGCCAGGTGGGCTCTGAACTCCCGCCCAGCCTCAACCAGAGCCCTTTAGTGTGTGGGCTTCAGACATGACTACATTTGAAACCTCAGTTCTGCTGAGCTTAAAAATTACAGGTTTAGTGTGATCCACTTTTAAATTGGGGGAAAAAATTCTCTCTTTTTTTAACTGTAAAAGCAATACCCATTCACTGTTAAAGAAAAGAAAAAAACTGAGAAAATATTGGAATTCCCTGGCCATCCAGTTGTTAGAACTCCACGCTTCCACTGCAGGCGGCATGGGTTCAATCCCTGGTCCGGAAACTAAGATCCCATGTGCTGTTCTACATGGCCGGAAAAAAAAAAAAAAAAACTGAGAAAATATAGGAAAGAAAAAAGAAGGAAAGAAAGAAAACTCACCTATCACATCGTTATCTTTAAAAAAAGAAAAAAAAAACTTTTTTTACAGATGGGAAAGTTATGACTCAGAGGGGCTCAAGAAACATTGCTTTTTTTTTTTGAAACATTGCCGTTTTTACTCATTTGCTATAAACCTATCTTGCTAGGTTGGTGGAAAATACAGCTTCAGTCAATATTACCTATTTCGTTCAGGAAAATTTTTTCTTTTAAACACTTCTTTTCTCTAGTGGGCCTGGGTTTTGGAGAGCAAAACCCAGGAAGTCTTGTTGCAATCTTCCACTGAGACTAGAAAGCGGTCTGAATGAAGGGAAGGAAAGAAGGGAAATAGAGGCGAATGGAAGTCACCATATACTGTGCCGAGCCGTGGCTGGGTGGCAGGAGAGACCCGGAAGGGGCCTCCTGCGCTCAGCTCAGGGTTCGCCTGCTCTGGGCTCCCGGAGCGTCTGTCGGAGGAGGGGGCTGGAGCCCGGGTCCACACTGCCTTCACGGGGTAGAAGCCAGCCCCCTCTGCAGGGCTGCTCCCGGAAGCACCTCAAGCCCACCTCTCGCCCTGCCCCTCCTCCCCATCCCTGCAGACCTGGCCATCAGGGACACGTTCGCCGACGCCTCTCAGAGGCTCTACGGCAGCAGCCCAAGGCCCCTGGGGAACAACAGCACAGCCAGCGTGGAGCTCATCAACGACTGGGTGGCCAAGAAGACCAAGCTCAGGATCAGGCGGGTGCTGGACAGCCTGCCTGAGGACGCCCGCCTCGTCCTCCTCAACGCGGTCGCCCTGAGCGGTGAGGGGGCGTCCCCCCACCCTGAGGTCTTCCTTCCCCTGCGGGCTTAAAGCCCACTCAGCCCCAGGTTCCACCCCTGGCTCCCGAGGCAGCTGCCCTGGCCCGTGCCCACAGAGCGTTTGACTCCCTTTCCTCCCCTCCCCACCCGCATTGGAGTCACCCTCCTCCTGCTCTTCCCTCTAGCCAAGTGGAAGATAGCGTTTGATAACAGCAGAACGGTCATGATGCCCTTTTACGTTAAATCCTCTGCCATCAAAGTGCCCATGATGAACAGCAAGAAGTACCCTGTGGCTTCTTTCACAGACCGGACTCTGAAGGCCCGGGTGAGTGCTCGGCCCTCCCCACTCCTGTCTCACAGCCTCTTGAGCGTCCTGACTTCCTTTCTGCTGTGGCTCCATCGGTGTGGGGCGCACCTTTCCCCTGAAAACCCGTCATTTCTACTGCTTCCATCTGTTTCCACCCTACCTTTTCTCCTTCTCACCCTCTCCAGCCTGGGCCAAGGGAGGCATTATACATTTGAGGTTGGAAAGCAAGATTCTAAAGTTTCCTCCTCCGTCTCTGCTGCGTCAAATGGCAAAAAGTGAGTCGTGTTCCTGTTCCGTGCCTCAGTTTCTCTTCCCAGTCAACCCACCAGTAGACCCTGCTGGCTTAGGAGCTCCCCTGTATGTGTCCTGGCGTACACCTGCATTTGTGTACATACGTGTGCACATGTCTAGGTATATCCGTGTGTTCATGTGTGTAGTAAGTGCATGTGTGTGCATGTGTTAAATGGCTTAAGTTCCTTGGCAGAAATTGAACAGAATGATTTCAGTGAATGAAGAGGGAAGGAAGAGAGACCAGACATTTTCTTGGTTTTCTTCCTTATGTTGTTATTTATTTATTTCTTAAACTTTTTGTTTTGTATTGGTGTATAGCCAGTTAGGGCTTCCCAGGTGGCTCAGTGGTAAAGAATCTGCCTACCAATCCTGGAGATGCAGGTTCGATCCCAGGGTCAGGAAGATCCCCTGGAAAAGAAAATGGCAACCCACTCTAGTATTGTTGCCTGGAAAATTCCATAGACATAGGAGCCTGGTGGGCCACAGTCCATGGGGTCTCGAAGAGTCAGACATGACTGAGCGCACGCACACACTCATAGCCGGTTAGCAAACAACGTTGTGATAGTCTCAGGTGGACAGCGAGGGACTCAGCCGTACATGTGCATGGATCTGCTCCCCCCAAACCCCCTGCCACCCAGGCTGCCACGTAATGCTCAGCAGGGCTCCATGCGCCGTGCAGAAGGCCGTCGTTGGTCTTCCATTTTAAATAGCAGCGTGTACATGAATGACCAGGTATTTCTGCCTTGTTAGGATAGCAGGGCACAGACCTATGAGACAGGAAACAATAGGAGATGCCCAGTGACGCAGTATTGGGCTGAGAAACATAGGACCTGTTCTGGGACATGCCAGGACTGTTTCCACCTTAGAAGCTTTCCTACCTTTTCCCTCTGCTGGACCCTCTGCAGGCAGATTGTCACAGAACTTGTTCCTCCGGCTCATCCGGTGTCAGTGAAAAGGTCACCTAGGTGGAGGAGACTTCCCCCTGCTTAAAGTCGCCTCCTCCTCACCCTGTAACAGCATCCTGTTTTATTACTAATATATCCATGGTACTGTATTGTCTTGGTATTGTTCAGTTGCTAGGTCGTGTCCAACTCTTTGTGACCCCATTGACTTCTGCACACCAAGCTTCCCTGTCCTTCACTGTCTCCCAGAGTTTCTCAACCTCATGTCTGTGAGCTGGTGATGCCATCGAAGCATCTCATCCTCTGTCGCCCCCTTCTCCTCCTGCCCCCAATCTTCCCCAGCAGTCTGCCCTTTGCATCAGGGGGCCAAAGTACTGGAGCTTCAGCTTCAGCATCAGTCCTCCCAGTGAATATTCAGGGTTGGTTTCCTTTAGGATGGCCTGGTTGGATCTCCTTGCTATCAGAAGGACTCTCAAGAGTCTTCCCCAGCACCACAGTTCAAAAGCATGGTACTTACCACTATCTGAATTACATTGTCTATTTGCCTATTTAATTGCAGTATTGTCTATCTCTCTGAGATATTGTGATCAGAGACTTTCTCTTTTCCCTACAATATCTGAGGGTCTAGAACAATGCCACATATAATAAGTGCTCATTATGTTTGCTGAATAAATTAATGAATTCAATGGGAGATGCTAAAGGGAGCAACTCACTCAGAATGAGTGGCTAGGAAGATGTCACAGAAGTGGTTACTTTTGACCACTCTTAACCACTCATGCACTTTTCCACCTTTCCATCCATACATCCTTACCCAATGGCTTTCAGTATTCCCAGCTATCTGACAGAACCAGAATACGTGTACAAGGCAGAAAGAGTGAATATACATGGCAAGTTTGGGGCATCACTCTAACTCAGAGTATTTGGGGGGAGAGTATCAGTGTGAGGGATTTTTAATGGCAAAGGAGGAGGGGTTTTATGCAACCCCCTCCCTCTCTTTGGGATTAGCCAGGTGACTCAGATGGTAAAGAATCCACCTGCAATATAGGAGACCTGGGTTCGATCCCTGAGTTGGGAATGTCCCCTGGAGAAGGGAAAGGCTACCCACTCCAGTATTCTGGCCTGGAGAATTCCATGGACTGTATAGAGTCCATGGAGAAGAGCATAGAGTCTTGGAGAAGACTCTTGAGAGTCCCTTGGACTGAAAGAGATCCAACCAGTCCATCCTAAAGGAAATCAGTCCTGAATATTCATTGGAAGGACTGATGCTGAAACTGAAACTCCAATAATTTGGCCACCTGATATGAAGAACTGACTCATTGGGAAAGACCCTGATAATGGGAAAGAGCGAAGGCAGGAGGAGAAGGGGACGACAGAGGATGAGATGGTTGGGTGGCATCACCGACTCGATGGATGTGGGTTTGAGCAAGCTCCAGGAGTTGGTGATGGACAGGGAGGCCTGGCATGCTGCAGTCCATGGGGTCACAAAGAGTCGGACACAACTGAGCGACTTTCACTTCACTTCACTTCACTTATTTGATGTAGTCGCATTATAAATTCAAAATCAAAGTTTTACTTAACCCTTTAAACGTTTAGCTGAAGTTGCTACATTATTAATCATAATTTTTTATAAAACACTTTCATTTGTTCTTTAATTAAGCCATACTGACCAGATTAAACTCCTTTAAACCATTTGTTTCATTTACAAATACGGTTAACTAATATTCCCGTAAGCATTTTGAGCTTATGTATATACTTTATAAATGCACTTCATACATTTGGCACACTTGATTTTCTTTTTTAGCATGTTAAATACTCGACAGGACAGAATTACACCCCTGTTTGTCCATATCTTGCTGGCACCTCGAGCCCACTTGTGAAAATTAAATTTGAAGAGTAAATCAACTTTCAGTCAACATCTCAAGTTTATTCTCAAACCGAATGCAACCATCCTTCCCTTCTTTGTCCAAAAGCATAAAACTATCATGTCTGACTCTTAAAAATTATGCACGCTATTTTAAATAACAAACACAGATTACTCTGAACTTGTCACCCAGGGTTCATACTACAGAATTGCTTTATTTTGTCATTCCCATACTTTGTTCTAAATTTTCCTAGGATTTAAGGAGTATTTACCCAACGAAGCGGGTTAGGTTTAGCAACTCAAGTATGCTAAGGCTGCTAGCTGGGAATGTCAAGACCACAAGGTGGTCTCACAGAGAGGCGAGGCTCGCACGCCGGCTGTGCGGGGCGCAGTGTCAGGTCAGCCAGCCCTGTGTGGGTCCTCTGACAACAGTGCCCGAGTGTCCTTGCTCTTCAAGCGATAAATCACTGTGCAACCTGCTTCTTCTGGACCATTTTTTCAAATTCCAACAACTGATTGGTTTCAGTTAACATCTTCATTGCCCAGTTGAATTCTGCATTCTAGATTATTCGTGTCCATCTGTTCAGCCTCAATCATAATGCCATTTCAGTGATCGTCTCTTCTGTCCTATCGGTCTGGGGTTTCTCAGTCTTGACACCATGGACACTTTGGGTTCAAGGATTCTTCGTTATAAGGTGCTGTCCTCGGCACTGCAGGATTTAGCAGCAACCCTGACTTCTACCCACTAGATGCCAGGAGCACTCAGCGCCTGTTTCTGCCAGCTCCAAGCATTACCAAATGTCCACTGGGGGCAAATCATCCCGAGCTGAGAACACTCATGTATGGGACTTGTGGGTCCTGTATTTCTCTCCTACTTTTGTCTGGTCACAAGTTTTAAGTCCTTCTACTGGCAAACTGCAAAGGTAGGCTAGGATCAGCTTGTATACCATGTTGAATGCCAGACCGGGAGGTTTATGCCTACTCTCATAGGCAGGGAAAAGCCATCAAAAGTCTTTGAAAGGACAGACCTGATAACTCTGATGGTACATTATGTGTATTCTATACTTTATGCACAACATACGTGAAAGGAACTGGGCTCAGAGAAGTCCCACTGCTTGCCTGTATTCCACAGCTCATCAGTAGCAGAGTACGGCTGTGATCCTCAGTCTGTGAAATCAGAAACTCTGGCTCATTTCTCTGCATCTCACCAGCACAGGGTCAGACCAGCGCTGTCTGCCTGCCTGGCCACCCCATCTCGTGGCAAAGCCTGGGAGCCTAGTTCTGGCTCCTTGCTGAAACAGTATGGACTGGAGACGAGCCTCGGGTCCCAGAGGGTAGGAGCTGGGAGAGAGCGGGGTAGGAGGACTGATAAGCTGCATCTCTTCCTCTCCAGGTGGGCCGCCTGCAGCTGTCCCACAACCTGAGCTTTGTGATCCTGGTGCCCCAGACCGTGAAACACCATCTCCAAGACCTGGAGCAGGCTCTCAGTGCCGCCGTCTTCAACGCTGTCCTGAAGAAGCTGGAGATGACCAAGTTCCATCCCACACACCTGACGATGCCTCGCATCAAAGTGCAGAGCAGCCAGGACATGCTGGGTGAGTCCTGGCAGCCCCGGGATTGATCCTGGGCCCCCAGAGGAGGAGAGGTTGTGGGGGGTGGGGAATGGGCCTTAAAATGCGGTCAACACCCTCTTGAGTCTTTTTCACATCCATCATCTCAGGTTGGGCTTTCGAAGTGGCTCAGTGGCAAAGAATGTGCCTGCCAGTGCAGGAGATGCAGGAGACCCGGGTTCGATCCCTGGGTCGGGAAGATCCCCTGGAGGAGTAAATGGCAACCTACCCCAGGATTCTTGCCTGGAGAACCCCATGGACAGAGGAGCCTGGCAGGCTACAGTCTTTGGGGTCGCATAGAGTCGGACACGACTGAGTGACTTAACACATACATGTGCCATACATATCCCTTCATTTTCTTTTATCAAACTTGATCTCCTAATAGATGATCTCGTTTCCTGATATATGACATCACGTTCTGGTATGTGATGTCATTTGAGTACGTATGTCCTCCTTCTGATACATTACCTCGTTTCCAAGGTTCTTGTTGATGAGGAAGCATCAATTTTCAGGGTTTTGGGGGGGTTGGGGCAAGACCTCTGACCACTTGAGAGAAAGTGGTGACTGGAATGAAGATGGGCCCACGGATTAAGGAGCCCACAAACGGGACTGGAAGGCACGGTGTAACGCGTTTACACTTTGATAAACAAGAAGAGGAGGAGAAAGAGAGGGTTGGAACTTGGGATCAACCCGGGAAATTCAGGACCCGTGTCTCCAGCTGCTGAGGTTTCCGCGCGGGTCTTGTTTTGTTTCTTAATGTAATATTTTAATTTAAAAAATATTTTAAATGACTATTTTTGTAATTTCACTTTTTGTACCATTTTTAGAGGTTGCTTTCCGTTTGCAGTTTTACCGCATGTCGGCTGCGCTCCGCGTGTTGACAGTCGTGCAGGTCTCTGACCATGGTGTTCCTCTGTCTGCGCCCTAGATTACTTCGACTTTATCTACGGCGTCAACCTGTGCGGGCTGACGGAGGACCCGGACGTGCAGGTGTCCGGGATTCGGCACCAGGCCACCCTGGAGCTGACGGAGAGCGGGGTGGAGGCGACCGCCGCCTCGGTCGTCTCCGTGGCCCGTAACCTGCTGGTCTTCGACGTGCAGCAGCCCTTCCTCTTCCTGCTCTGGGACCAGCAGCACAAGTTCCCGGTCTTCATGGGCCGAGTGTATGACCCCAAGGGCTGAGCCTGGCCCGGGGCCTCAGCCCACCCAGCTGCAGCCCTGCTCCAGCCTGCCTGCACGTGCCCCTCCCCGCCTCCCACCTCAGGCCTGCCCTCCACCTGAGGGGCCCCTGGGGGGTCCTGTGAGGGGCCGGCTTCCCTCCTCAATTACGGCAACCCCTCCAGAGTACTTTTTGCGGCTTTCTCTGGCACAGATTGAGCAGACTTCACAAATAAAACCTGGCAGACCATGACTTTCTCTCTCATTTGCCTTTGAGTTTTAGAAGACTAGGGCTTCCCTGGCCCTTGTATCAGCTAGCTACTGCTGTGTAACAAGTCACTCAAACTTAATGGCTTAAAATAGCAACCATGCATTATTTCACCAAAGTCTGGGAGTTAGGGCTGATCGCGCTGATCTGGCCTGGGCCTGGCAGACCTTCCCTGTGCTCGCTCATACGTCTGTAAGAGTCGGTGGGGTGGCTGGGGGTGACTGACCTACAGCGGCCTCACATGGACCACCTTGGCTCTCCTCTGCACATCCACCTCCGGGACCCTACCCGCAACGCTCACCTGCAGTGGCACAGTTTCCAAGTGAAGAGTCAGAGACAGGCAGTCTTTTTCACACCGTGCAGCTCGGCTTGCCTCAAATTTACCGTCGTCCGGTCAGCCCAAGCAAGGCACACAGCCAGACCTGGCGGCAGAGTGGGGAAGCACTAGAAAGTGGGAGGACACAGTCATTCACGGAGACCTTGTCGTGCAGTCATTCGTCACAGCCCGTATCTTGTTCATTTGTTTGCAGCAACTGTGACAAGAGTAATAACAGTAGCTAACACTGTTGAGGCCATCCGCTAAGATGACCATCCGCTCTTAGGCCATCCGCTCTTAGAGCTCTGCGTGCATGCATGCTTAGTAGTGTCCGACTCTTTGTGACCCCACGGACTGTAGCCCGCCAGGCTCCTCTGTCCATGGGATTCTCCAGGCAAGAAATGCTGGAGTGGGTTGCCATTTCCTTCTTCAGGGGATCTTCCTGACCCAGGGATGGAACCCACATCTCCTGTATTGGCAGGAGCTTTCCTTACCACTGAGCCGTTTGGGAAGCCCTGTGACCACACGTCTGTAAATTGATTCCAGGTTGTCTGAAGAGGCGCCTTCTTTGGCCAGGTTTAGTTCCTTTATGCCCCAAACTAGACCAGAAGTCAGATCTCTGTCTTTATGTCCTATTGCATGCATGCCACCATGCCTATCAAAGTGCTTTACCCTTAAAAAAAAGAAAAAAAACTATTGAGTGAATGAACGATTGAATGAATGAATCACCACATCCAGGTGGGGGGGAAAGAAGAGACTCTTATCCATCTAGAAAGAGTAGAAAGTCTGAGAGTGAAGGGAATTTAAATATTTTCGGTTCTGAGGATTTTCTTGTAAGAGGGCACATGTCCGTTTGGGGGGTTTGGTCTAATATGATTAACTTTCACTTAGCTGGTAAGTAAGTGAGTCCATGAGAAGAGCAATGAGAAGCCAAGAGAAGGCAGTGGCACCCCAGTCCAGTACTCTTGCCTGGAAAATCCCATGGACGGAGCAGCCTGGTGGGTGCAGTTCATGGGGTCGCTAAGAGTCGGAGACGACTGAGCGACTTCACTTTCACTTTTCACTTTCACGCATTGGAGAAGGAAATGGCAACCCACTCCAGTATTCTTGCCTGGAGAATCCCAGGGACGGGGGAGCCTGGTGGGCTGCTGTCTATGGGATCACACAGAGTCGGACACGACTGAAGTGACTTAGTAGCAGCAAGTGAGTCCATGAGGGCCCGGCAGGCTAGGGTGGCCTTGGTTATCTGCCTGCTGCAGTCACCAGGGGGTTAGCTGGCGGGTCTGATGAGGTTTAGCTTTGGCCTTGTACAGTCTCCCATACGGCTGGGACCTTGGCTGAAATGAATCAGCTCACCGACTCTGCTCCAACGGGTCTCTCCTTTTCCAGGAGGCTAGTCTGGTCCTATTGAAACAGAGGTTGCAGGGGTCTAAGAAAGTGACAGAGTCAAGCAAAGTCTCTCGAGTCTGAAGCCAGGAAGTAACATCACATCACTGATGCCTCATTCTACTGGCCAAAGCAAGTCACCAGGCCAGCTTATGTTCAAAGAGTCAGGAAAACCTGTCCACATCTTTTTTCAGCCACGCCTCACAACTTGCGTGATCTTAGTTCCCTAACCAGGGATTGAACCCAGGCCCTGAGCAGCGAAAACAGAGTCCCAACCACTGGACTTCCAGGGAATTCTGCAAACGTGTCCACTTCTAAAGAAAAGACCTCCTTTTCATGAAGATGGCGCCGAAGGCGAAGAAGGAAGCCCCTGCCCCTCCTAAAGCTGAAGCCAAAGCAAAGGCTTTGAAGGCCAAGAAAGCAGTGTTGAAAGGTGTCCACAGCCACAAGAAAAAGAAGATCCGGACGTCGCCCACCTTCCGGCGGCCCAAAACACTGCGGCTCAGGCGGCAGCCCAGATATCCTCGGGAGAGCGCCCCTGGGAGAAACAAACGTGACCACTACCCATCATCAAATCCCCCCCACCACCGAGCCAGCCATGAAGAAGACAGAAGACAACACCACACTGGTGTTCAGTGTGGATGCCAAGGCCTACGAGCACCAGATTAAACAGGCTGTGGAGAAGCTCTGTGACGCTGACGCGGCTGAGGCCAATACTCTGATCAGGCCTGATGGGGAGAAGAAGGCGTATGTTCGACTGGCTCCTGACTACGATGCTTTGGATGTTGCCAACAAAATTGGGATCATCTAAACTGAGTCCAGCTGGCTAATTCCAAATATAAAAGTTTTCACTATGTAAAAAAAAAAAAAAAAGAAAGAAAGAAAAGAAAAGACCTGCAGAGTCTTTCTGCCAAAGGCATGCCTTTAAGGAAGCAAGAATGATTGTGGCCACTTTTCTAATCGACCACGGCGGACTTAGCGTGTATGTATAAAAAGTATTAGCGAATTGCCCCAGCAACTTGCTACTCTGAGATTTCCTTAAAGAATCAAGAACTTTTTGTCTGTATCACTATAACATTAGAAACAGCTTTTTAGGTTCACATGAGGTGTCACGTTCGAGAGACAGGGGGCCACACACTCATAGACACACATTTCTGAGGCCCCCGCCCTCTTGACCTGCCCTGCTGTCCCACCCTGGCAGAGGCAGAGTTCCAGGGGTCTGCTACCCATCTCCAGGGACCCCCTCCTCCCGTGGTGGGTTTGGTGAACGGTACTGACTTGATGGATTTGAGTTTGAGCAAGCTCCGCGAGTTGGTGATGGACAGGGAGGCCTGGCATGCTGCAGTCCATGGGGTTGCAAGGAGTCAACTGAACTGAACTGAACTGATTCTGAGAAAGAACCTGAAGTGGTCTGAGTTGCCCTGCAGTGAGCCCTTACTGCCACATGGTGTCACTGTTGAAACTTAGTCCTGTGTAGCCTCTTGGACACATCATCTCTTCCAGATTTTTTTTTTTAATATTGTTATATATTTATTTATTTGGCTGTACCGGGTCTTAGTTGTAGCATGTGGGATCTAGTTCCCTGACCAGAGACTGAGGAGACAGAGACAGACAGTGATCTCCATGGGATCTTCCCAACCCAGGGATCGAACCCAGGTCTCCCACACTGCAGGCAGATTCTTTACCAGCTGAGCCAGCAGGGAAGCCCAGGAATACTGGAGTGGGTAGCCTGTCCCTTCTCCAGGGGATCTTCCTGACCTAGGAATCGAACTGGGGTCTCCTGCATTGCAGGGGGATTCTTCACCAGCTGAGCCACCAGGGGAGCCCTAAACAGCCGATGTGGAGATTAACCTTTGATTCCAAAATTAAGTTTACACTCACCCAGCCACTGCTTTCAGAACAGTGGTTTTTTAGGTTCTGCCTGGACTCCAGAAGCCTTCCTGATCTGAGCCACATGCTGTGTCAGAATTCGCTTGGTCCCCAGGCACCCTCAGGGTTAGATTCGAGACCACAGCAACAGTAGAAACTACCTAACCATGCATTGAGCATTTACCAAACAGAAAATTTCATGGGTTGCATAATTTCTTTTAAGAGGAGATCACCCCTTATGAAAAAGATATGTTACCAAAGACACTGGATAATTTGACTTACATACTTTGACACTGTATTTTCCAGAAGGATAATCATAAAAGACAGCATATTGAAAAGCAGAGAAATCACCTTGCCGACAAATGTCCATATTGCAAGCCATGGTTTTTGCAGTGGTTGTGTACAGTTGTGAGAGCTGGACTATAAAGTGCCAACTCAATCCTGAGTGCCAAAGAACTGAGGCTTTCAGACTGCGGTCCTGGATGGGCTCCTGAGAGTCCCTTGTACATCAAGGTCAACCCCGTCAATCAAACGACGTGGAGGGTGACATGCATACAGAGAGAACCCTGGAAATTTGCAACACCATATGTTAAATAGATGGCCGAGGGGAATTTGCTCTAAGACTCAGGGAACTCAAACAGGGGCTCTGTGATAATCTAGAAGGTTGGGATGGTGAGGGAGAAGCGAGGGAGGGAGGGAGGGAGGGGAAATGGGTGTACCTATGGCTGATTCTTGTTGATGGATGACAGAAAACCACAAAACTCTGTAAAGCATTTATCCTTCAATTTAAAAAGTGGAGAAAAAGAAAAAAAAGGAAAGGAAATCAGCCCTGGATACTCATTGGAAGGACTGATGCTGAAGCTGAAGCTCCAATACTTTGGCCACCTGATGTGAAGAACTGACTCATTGGAAAAGACCCTGATGCTGGGAGAGACTGAGGGCGGGAGGAGAAGGGGACGACAGAGGATGAGACGGTTGGGTGGCATCACCGACTCAGTGGACATGAGTTTGAGCGAACTCGGGGAGACAGCGGGGGACAGAGGAGCCTGGTGTGCTGCAGTCCATGGGGCCACAAAGAGTGGGACGTGACTCAGGGACTGAGCGACAAAGCAACAGGGAGAGGAAACTGCAACCACTTTTGTGTTTGTGCTATTTTTCATTTACTAAACACTAAAAATCTCATGTTTCACTGAGTAGGCACTCCTAAACTAACTTCTTGGCATGTTACGACAGTTACTTGGGCTTTTTCATAGTGTTTTTATCATATCTAACTTCCATTACAAAGTTATTGATTTTGGAAAGTGTTTTTTGGCATGAACACAACCACGTAATGACTCTAAGATAACATCATTCCAGGGTACAGAAAATGTTTAAATGATAATGTTGAATATTAGAATAACAGCACATTTGTCAGTAATGTCACTATCAGAAGTTATGATATACATAAACAACAGTCTGATTAATGATGGAAACTTAATGGTGGTTAGTTACTTTGCCAACTCAAAGGATATTGTCAGGTGGCAATAGCTGTAAACAGCCTATAAACCACTCAGCATAGCAATTCTGAAATCACGCAGCCTTGATTTTTTTAATTTAAGGAGATGTGCTGATTTTCAAACTTGAATGATACATGATGACGCCACACCACGGTTGTTGTTCAGTCACTAAGTCATGTCTGACTCTTTGTGACCCCATGAACTGCAGCATGCCCTTCCCCATGGCCTGGAATTTGCCCAAATTCATGTCCATTGAGTCAGGGATGCTATCTAACCACCTCAGCCTCTGCCATCCCCTCTCCATTTGCCTTCGACCTTTCCCAGCATCAGGGTCTTTTCAAATGATCCGCTATTCGAATCATATGGCCAAAGTGTTGGAGCTTCAGCTTCAGCATCAGTCTTTCCAGTGAATATTCAGGGATGACTTCCTTTAGGATTGATTGGTTTGATCTCCCTGCAGTCCAAGGGACTCTCAAGAATTCATATCATATCATTATTATCCCCTTTTGCCAGTGGAAAATGGAGCCTTAGAGAGTAATTAATCCAGCCCCTCAAGGCCTCTTAACTGGCGCATAGCAGAGTTGGGAGTAGACTCCAGTGCTTAGTAACCTAGATTCCTTTTTTTCTCAAGGTACTTTTTCTTTGTAGCAACCTTATGTATTCTCTGTCCTAATACTTGTTTGAAATTACACTCACCCATTACCAAAATCTCTCCACAATCTCAACTTTAAAAAAAAATATATTTATTTGGCTGCACAGGGTCTTAGCTGTGGCACGTGGGATCTAGTTCCCTGACCCGGGATTGAACTCAGGCTCCCTGCATTGGGAGCACGGAGTCTTAGCCATGGGCCACCAGGGAGATCGCTACCATCTTGAATCTTGAGAAGAAATGGTGGGGGAATGTGAATTCCCCTTCTCCCAGAAAAAAGTTTTAAGCAAATTGGGACAGCCCTTCCATCCTGACCTGAGCTGGATGGGGCAAGGACACATCATTATTTCTTCCCTGAGGACCCGGGCTACCTACCTGCCAAGTGAACTGTTCAAACTGCAAGTCCGCTTTAAGTGACCCAGACAAAAATCTGCATTTCACATATTCCTCTCGTTGTATATTTAACCGTGTCTTGATTGGCAGCCTAGCACACATGCACACTCATATAGGTACCTGTGCTACTGTGTGCGTGCTAAGTCGCTCAGTCCTGTCTAACTTTTTGCAACCCCAAGGACTGCAGGCTGCAAGACTCCCTTGTCCATGGGATTCTCCAGGCAAGAATACTGGAGTGAGTTGCCATGCCCTCCTCCAGGGGATCTTCCCCACCCAGGGATCAAACCTGCGTCTCTTACGTCTTCTGCATTGGCAGATAGGTTCTTTACCACCGGCACCACCTGGGAAGCCCATAGATATGAAAGTAGCTCAGTTATGTCCAACGCTTTGCAACCCCATGGGCCATAAAGTCCATGGAATCCTCCAGGCCAGAATACTGCAGTGGGTAGCCTATCCCTTCTCCAGCAGATCTTCCCAATCCAGGAATCGAGCAGGGGTCTCCTGCATTGCAGGCGGATTCTTTACCAGCTGAGCTACCAGGGAAGCCCAGGTATGTGCAAGTACATACAAACGTGCATATGCACACACACGTACATGCCCTCACTGTTATGAGGGACGTCCCTGGTGTCCAGTGGCTGACTCCACACTCCCAAAGCAGGGGCCCAGGGTTCGATCCCCGATCAGGGGACTAGATCCTACATGCCACAACTAAGACCCAGCGCAGCCAAATAAATAAGTAAAATATTTTTAAAAAATGCTGATGTTTGAGTCACAGATATACACATTCACTCACATTCACACACACGTACAAAAGCACATGGACACCCGCCTCTGAAAGGCTGCGTCAGTTTCCCCGCAAACTCTGCGCCCAGCCTCAGCTCCAAGCCCTTGAGGAGGGCCTCCCAGGCACTCCCTGGAGTGTTCACCCAGGGAGCACTCCCCCAGGGGAAGGATCTCAGAGCTGCCCTGTGTTAATTACAAGCCCCGAACGGGCTCATCCATCATCCCGTGGTGACAGGCCGGCCTCCCGTCCCCGCCCCCACCCCGACGCCCCGTTTTCCTCGGGTGACCGGGTGACCGAGCAGACCGCCTCCACAGAGTCAGGGGCACGGTCTGGCTCAGCTGAACACCCTCCTCTCCTCTGTGGGGAGCTCCCGTGAACCCCCCACTCCCCTCCCTCGCTTAAGTCCCCTTCACGCGGGGATTTTCCCACCTGCCCCACACCGGGCTTCCTTTTCACCATTTCCCTGAAACTGCAGTCATCCCGTGATCTGGCATTGTTTTGCCAGCTTCGCAGATGAAGAAAAGGAGCCTAGGTGAAATGATTTGCTCAAGGTCACCCCAGCTGGGGAGGCTCGATTGCGTTCAAACCAGACTCTGCTGTTTGCCTGGGGTCCTGTTGCG